TATATACGCGAATTAATCACTGAGCTTTGAAATTTTGTACAAATTTCTTTCTCTAAGCTGCTCATTTGTCGGACCACTATAGTATATAGCTGGCATACAAACTGAACGATCACAATTAGGTTCTTGTATAAAAACTTTGTATTTGTGAAGAGTTTTCTAGCTTCGGTACAACCGAAGTTAACGTTTTTTCTTGTTTTCTTAGTATGTTTTTCAATATACGTATATAGGTACTTGTATACATAAATATATATTGTACATAGGTACATATATTATTAAGAGATCGCACTACAGTACTCTCACGACCTTAAATAAGGTTAGTAGAACTAATTAGATAGTGCTAAAACCATAACCAAACATGTTTTCGCGAGTTGACCACTGATTTGATCATCTCTAAGGTTGACTTACACATCAATCACACCGGTGGGTACTCATGCAACCAATGTATGTATAACATTGCAAAATATAGTCCAAATTTATGATTGGCTAAAAATGAAGACCAAGTTCATATAAACATAAAACTATACACATAACTCGTATGTGTTTAAATAAAAATTTATTGTTTTAACTGAGTAAACAAATAGACGAATGCAATACCAAAGTGAAAGCAGTCATTAAACCGCCTGCTATATTGAAACAATTATCGAATGAAAATCTAACACTATTTGAATATGGTAAGGCTCGATCACAAGATTTGACAAAATTTACTTATTCCTATAATATTGAAAAAAGAACTTACCATAAAGTAAATAGCGTCTTAAATTTCTTAACCTGCTATATTTATGTCATATTTATATATGTATGTGTATGTTGATTCATAATCATTTCTTATTTAGATTTGTATTTTATGTTATGAATGCGTTGGCGTGGCTTTCTTTTCATGTTTCATTGTTAGAAGAAAGACCGACGCAATTATTATTTCAAAATACAAGTAAAAAAGATACATTGGCTAATAAATTTACATACACATACGCACAAAACCCGGTAGGATATTTCCCTGTAGTGAAGCATAAAACTAGTCAAGAAATATACTAGTTACATCTTAAAGTTTCGAATGGCATCAAGATAGTCAGAAAAACGTTATTTTTATACCCTGAACAAGATATATGAAGTTAGCCACGAAATTTGTATCACCCGGAAAAGTTGGAAAAGTTGGAAAAGTATATATGTATATACAAAAATGATCAGCGTATCGGGCTGAGTCGATTTAACCATGTCCGTCTGTCTCTATATATATGAACTAGTTCTTTGGAGTTATCGATCTGCAATATATAGCTGTCATACAAAAAATTTCTGTTACAAGTATTTGACAAGATATCTTCACGAAATTTGGCATGAGTTATTGTTCAAGGCGATGTTACAATATCCGAATATATTGTTTAGTACGGAATACATAAAGCTGCAAAAATAAAGATTTTCATAAAATATCTCTTTTCCCTAATAAGTAACCTTAATTCGACTTGAAGTATTTAAACAACGTGGCTAGAAGTTCCTTCTAAGTAAAACATTTTCCGTAAGATGCAAACCGTTGGTCGGTTACGTATCGTTGGTATAAGAAATGCACCTGTGAAAGATATTACAGCTCCGGTGCAGCCGAACGTTTTTTCTATTTAGTTTTTCCCATCAAGTTAAGACATCAAGACATCAGCATAAGGACAACATTACAACAAAACAATTTGGAAATATGGGATGGAGACAATCCGCTGACTAGTTGCACTGTATTCCAAACATACGAAAGAAATCTTTCATACCGTAAATTATTTGAATAACGGTATTGTAGTCATTCTGTAGTCGAAATTCCAACTGCTTGATCGTGATCCAGAAATCGTAGATAATTTGTAATTTTCGAATTCAAAGTGATTAAAATATTCCTGAGTAAACATAACTCAGTAAAACTGAACTCAAAATTATTTAAAATAAATACTACCTGGACTGAAAAAAAAATCTCTATCCTTTCCTTTGAATCCGAACTTTATGCTAATTCGATTACTGCCGAAGTTTCATGACACTTCTTCCAAGTTATTTGTGACCTACACAGTGCTATTTTAGCTTACAATGGAAAAAACTGAATTCCGTGTTTTAATAAAAGAATGTTTCTTGATAGAAAAACAGCTTAAATGCAAAGCAATGGCTCGAAAAGTGTTGTGGTGAATCTGCTCTAGCATAGATCAACTAGTTTTGACGTAAGCTTACCAGCTAAAGTGATGCATCCCGTTCAAGAAGGCCCTAAAAGTAGTAACGCCTGTCAATATCGTGAAAAAGCTTTGTGCCCGATAGGTGTCGTGTTTTTTTACGTCGAGAATCACTCTGGCTCGTTTAGCAAGTGAATTACGCTATGAATTAGTTCCTAAACGACTATTCCCAGACTCAAAAAATGCCAGGTTGAACAATTATTTCACTCAAATGAAGAGTGATGGAAACAAACGATTATTTAAGATGTCTCCAAGGTCTCACACTATTAAGTGTATCCGGTATCGAAATGTGGGAGAGCAGTTGCAAAAATTTATTACTCTCGAGAGATTTTATTGAAGAATAAAGTCATATGTTCATTTTCAGTTGTTTTGCTAGGCCCATGTGGTAAATGGTAGCAGCAAATCTCGAAGCCTACTTCTCTCTTGTATATGTAATAGATGTACGTAAACATAAATATGCAGTTCATATATATACCTATATATATATTTTTTTTTTGTTAAATTGTGCTGCCTCCTAAATTTATTTCCTTTCGCAAAATGGCCTGGATACAAATTTAGAGCCTCCATTTGCAGTGGATCGAGTTAAATGAAGTTGTAAAATGATATATTGAAATTGCAGTATACGGATACTTAATACGGATTCAAATTTTAACTGTAATTTAAAAATCGCAGATTTGAGGATAACCTTGAAAATTAATACCTTTCTGAATATTTATTTTGAAATTTAAATACTTTTGATTAAACTCAGCTCAAGGTGTCGACGGTTCACGCTTTTTAAAGCCATGCAAGCAGTATTTTACATTTAAGTTTAAGGGTAACACAAATTTGCGAACTTGAAATCTCGTAAACTTAAACAATCACAACAGAATTGGAGAATAAAAATTAAAATAAAATAAAAAGTTGTGAAGATTAGCAAATCGAAATTGAGTCATGCAATGTGTGTACGTATGTATAAGTAAATTTTATATATATACACATACATTACATTAGGTATATAAAATACAGCTATATAACATTTTAATTTACATCACAAAGGTAAAAAATAACTTCAACGGTGAACGAATCGTTAAAAAGAACAAGTGAAATCCAACAAATTCCCTGGAAACCATGTCAGCATTTGAAATAAAAGGGAAAAGAAAAATGCAAAATGGGTAGAAACAAATTCGCTAAAACGATTTTTTGATTCATCACCTGATAAGATAACTAGTTTTTTATCATTAATTTGGCAAACAAGTTATAAAAATAATAAAGCATGTTAGGTACACGCCGTTATTACTTTATGTATCAGTACACATACTTATGTATGTATATATGTACGTACATAAATATCCATACATAAGTACGATTGCATCTACTTTCATATACATACATAGGTAGAGCTTCTCCTACTTTTTATCGTGATCAAGGGCGCTGTTATCCGTCCCAGAAGAAGTATTTAATGTCAGAATAAGAATCAGCGGAACTTTTTTGATTCCTTAAAATTTTTCATATGAACACTTTTGTATTATAAAAATTCCCTCAAACAATGCTAAATATTTACAAAGTCAAATTGAAACACACATATCTGTTTCAAAAACTTATACCCCCTATTGTTGTTGTTGTTGTAACGATTATCTAGACCTTGCTAGGGGAAAATAAATAAGTTAGCTAATTAATTTAATTTTACTCAAAAAGTATATTCGTAAAAGCAGTAGAACGCTTTATGTTCGAAACACCCAAGATAGTTTAATTTCATTTTTCTGTTTTCTATTTGTAGCTTGCCTCGTCCAGTTTCAGGATTTTACTCCACGAGCTCAATCAATTTTTTACCTTTTTAGGTATTTGTAAAAAATAACTAAATTTCAATTCAAGAATTGAATTCATTTCATTTCACTACCACGAAGATAATCATAACGGTTTAGTGTTCGTGTACATGCTTTGTATTTAGTTATTTGGTATTGTTAATAATCAATAATATTTATTTAAAGGATTAAAGAAAGATAATGTATTTTTTTATTCATTTTCCATTTTCTATTGATATTTTTCTTAAATAAATGCAGTTCACCTACAACTACTCGGTAGCGGTTGAAATTTTCTAATGAAGTTGGCAAACATTTCAACCGAAATTTTTTTTAATGAGTTGAATTGGAAACCGTAATACCAAATTTCAAAACTTCAACCAAAATGCAGTTGGGCCTAGATTATAACAGTTTATATAATTCAACGTTAACTCATGGGCATAAGTCCATTTATTTTATAGTCGTACAAAAACGAAAGAAACAATCTCTGGTCTTAACAACTTCAGGGTTAATACGAAATCGTTGCGATAAGAACGGAAATAGAATATATGGTTGAGGCAAGTTGCAAAAATTATGTGAAATCCAATAAACAGAAAGCGAAAGCCTTGTTGTATGTACATAAACACATATATGGTACATACATATGATATTTATATCAAACCACAGTTTCAGATTCGGGAACATTTATGTAGCATAGCATATAATAATATAAATATGTCAGTATGTAACATCAATTGAAGACCAATTACAAACCGCCTTCGAAATGATTAAAAACAACAAATTGCCAACTATTCCAATGCTTAAGTAAGTAGGGGCATTAATGTGGCACTGAGCACACATTGATGATGATGGCGGGTAAATCGTACTCGTATTTAAAAATCGTAGATAATTTAAAATTTATTCATATATGTACATGTACAATATGTACATAAGCGTACGTATGTATGTATATGTAATAACAAACAATGTGACATTTGTTACGTATGATATATTAATATAAATATGTTTATAGTACCATATGTGTTATGCTTACCCACAATTCCAGCAAAAAGGCTATATGATGACTTCGTCACGGCGTGTTGTGGTTTGGCTCCTATAGTTTCCTCGATGTCGGCGCTGTGATTTTTAAGCTGTAGTTTAGACTGTAAGTGCAGCTACCGTTGACGCTGTTGCTGTTAGAGATAATGTATTATTGATGCGCGAGTTTTGAACAAAAAAAAAAACAAATGCAATGTACCACAAAAGTGAAGGAAAAAATTTAAATGTCAGGGGGTCTCTAAGTTTGTGTGACAGTTGCTGCTGGTACTGCTGATGTTGTGATGGCGGTTTTTGCTGTTTATATAGTATACTTTGTGCTGGCTCTGGTGCCGTTTTGCTTCAATTGGTTAATGTGCTGTGTGAGGAACGATATATGTGTATGTGTATAGATATTTCGTTTGGTTTGGTAGACGAGACGTGGTTTGTTTATTGTTTTTTATTAGTTTGGTTCATTACATTATTGTAAATGCTTTTATCTACATACATAGGTATATGAGCAAGTGCAGAAATCTACTTTTGATATTTTACTATTTTATTATTATTATTATATAGTCTAAAGGAAAGTTTACTTAGTTATATTAACATACATATGTATGTATGTATGAATCTGTGTTAAATAATTTGCCTAGTCTTTCGCAAAGTAGATGAAATTTCTTATACATAGTATCTGTAACATAGCAACAAAATTTTACGGGCTCAAAGAACAAAATCTTTTTCAGCATTCACATTTACTGCCGAACTTTATATATGTATTGCACAACTATTAACGTTTTTATGAGCCGACAATAGATTATAAATAAAGACAAAGGCACAATCTGCCAAAGTGCCGCATGAACTATGCTTCTATTATCAAGGACAAGGACACGTTTGAAGACAGCTGCTAGCACAAATGCCTACTATGCATTACTTCAAAGCAGCTGCTCTCACATTTGCCTAGTAATATAATAGAGCTAACAGGATTGTTGTTATTCCAGTTTCACGATCCCAATCGGCCATACTTACATAGATATGGTTAAATATACATATTTATGCGCATAACTGCGCGTAAGAAAATCCAGAATTACAGGGACCAGACTAGTTTACATTTAATATACGTCAAGATTTTGTGAAATAAATAATGTATCAAGTTAAACTACATTGGTTTTTCATACCATGACATGCTTATTATTAAAGTTATTTATTTATTTCATCGACTATTTTAAATAGCAAGTACTTTGTAAGCAAATATTTACTTTCTAATTTTCTGTATTGTGCAGCCTGCAAATTTGCAGCAGCTGTATTTCACACACATATACACTCTCACATTCACCCATGGGCGAAAAATCAATTAAATCTTTAGCTTTTGCGGAAGTCATGAACTTCCTTGCGACTTCACTTTAGTAATACATTTTCTCTAATGATTCTTTATAGACATCTTTATTAGCTTAGGCATAATGCAACACATAACTAACCACACATTTTTTTATTCACTTCTGTACAACACAAATTCGATTTGAAGCTTTTGTTAAAAATACCGAAAATTTATCTCAACGTACAATTAACAACAACGTGCTGATGGCAACTCAGTTACATCCGAACTCGATTTAAGATCGAACAGAAATGCAACGCCGAACAGAACTGATGTTAGCAGTGCTAAACACTAAAAAACGTAGGAGAAAAAGGTAACATTACCACTTCACATTTCAGGGTTGCATGTCATTCACTTAATATAAACAATTTATAGATATTAATGGAAATAGTTGCGCAATAGTTTTCATATTTTAATGTATTTAAAAAAATTTAAATGTGGTAAAAATAGAAGTATATGTGAATTGAAAAAAGCTATATAGACGAATTTATTTCCCATGCAACTCAGCAGTCAAATGCAGGGATGTTACTTTATTTTCCTGTGCCACCTACAAGCCAGTTTCCGTTTTGAAAGAAAATTATTTATATTTTATAATTCTAAAATTATATAAAAATAAATTAGTAAGAACATTTTAATGCGATTATTTATAAAACGGTGCTAACATATTTGTAATTTACTAGTGTAAAAACAGTTATTATAGCAAAGTATTCCATCTACTCAACAAGAAACAGTCGTAAAAAACCATATTCATTTCTACCACTCATTCTAAATTTTATTTGAAACCAACTGATCTCAATAAAAGCGTCCTATAACCAAAATCACAATTCCGTACATTCTCTTAATGCCGATATATGTATGTACTCATTTTTTAGTTAAAACATAGTTAAAACGCAAATGATGGAAATAATATATACATATATTATCCTTGGAAGAAATTATAGATAGATAATAGAAGCTTAAACCATCTGTTAAAAATTTATATTCAAAGAAAGACAAACACAAAATGTAAAGATATACAGGAAAATGTATTGCAATTATTAATGTATATGTAGCATATATCTAACAGTAAATCATTATGTATGGATTGTATTTAGTAGATATGAGGACTCCAAAAGGCCCCATCTAACCACCGCTCTTCTAAACTTTTGACAGTGAAAGCCAATTGGTATTACTTAAAAGAAATCTAATAACAGTGTACTGCACTTTTTAGGTTAAATAGAGGCGATGGTAATCATTTGCCCCAAAAGCGCAATTGCATTTAGGGCATTTCCGCTGTCTAGTTTCGTAACGAGTACGTAAACAGTCATAGCAGAAAACGTGGAAACATTTCGATAATACCGCATCTTTGCGTTTAACCTTACATGAAGGACAGGTGAGAGTCTCTTTATATTCGCGAATCTCTTCTAATACTACTTCATCAATAGTACTGCCAGCCATTTCAATTTTTTTCATTCGTTCAGCCTTGCGCTTAAACTGCGCTAGTTCTTCCTGTAAGCGCTTTGTTTTATATGCCTCCGCCTCAAGCGAGCTAGTTTTTTCCGCAACAACTTGCTGCGCTTCTTTCATCTGAGAATGATACTTTTCTAAATGCAATTTCAAATCTGCTGCTGACTGTGCAGACTCAATAGCTTTCCGTTTGTGCATTTCCATAGCTTGTTGACGCAACATCAACTCTTTTTCTATGGTGGCTACAGTCGCTTGAAGGCTACGCTCCTTTTCCTCTAACTTCCGCAATACAATATGCATTGCTTCAATTTGAGTATCTCGAGTGGTCATTTGATCTACTAATATTTGTTTTTCCTCTCGTAATAAATTATGCATCTGATTGGCTTTAATGCGCTCCGACATAAGCTTAAAGTTAGCATCATCCTTTTCGCGTAGTTGTTGTATTAATCGAGAGTTTTGTTCCTGCATGTCCTCAAATGCTTGACCTGTTACTTCCATTTCATTCAGTAGAGCTTCCTCTTCATGTGAGCCAACAAATGGACGAGCATAATTTGCTCCACTCGGCCCACCCCACGCATTCTCCACAGGTTTTTGACTTGCCACTTGTTTTTGCAGTTCATACTTCTGCTCCTCAAGTTGCTTAATCTTCCGTAATGCTTCTTCATCTGCCAGCTTTTTACGCTCCTCTCTTTTACTTTCCTGTATTTTCTTTAATTGTTGACGCAATTCCTCTATTTCTGACCGAAGTTTCTTCTCTGTTGCCATAAGCTGCACTTTATCACGCTGATCCTTTGAAACCCCTTTGTACATATCAAGGAGAAGCTTCATTTCCTTTTGATCATTTAATGCTTTTCTGCAAACAAAGTTATGATTCATTTTATTTACGGTGGATTTTTAGGCGCAAATTAGACTGGTAAGGCAATCATTTTTTATTCATATTTTAAGTAGTGTTGTGGGAATACTTACTTAAGCTGTGCTTTTAAATCACGCACAATTTCAGATTCAACTACTTTTATATCTTTTGCCTTTGGCACATCTTTCGCATCCTTTTCAACCTTGACAGTAGCTATGCATGGCGTTGCAGCTACCGTTGTCCCGCTTGTTGTATTACTATTTGTACTGCCTGCAGCTTGAGCATCTTTCTTCTCCCCAGCAACTCCAGTGGCTCCTGTCGAATTTTTTTCTTGCTTTATTCCCTCTTTTTGTTCCTTCATTTCGTCATCACCATCATCCCCTACAATATACTGGATATTTTCACTGCATATAATAAAACATATTATCTAACCTTTGATGTTGACACCTGCCTCATCTTTAACTGTTGCTGATGATTCGTTAGAGCCAATACCAGTTGTTCCTACGCCACCAGCAGCATTCTCCTCTTTCACAGAATTCCCACTCTCTAGTTTAACCTCCTCTGCCGAGGGCGGTTGCTGCTTTGTACCCTCCAGCTTAGCTAAAGTATCCTCTATTTCTTTTCGAAGCTAAAATGTGGAAAAAATATAAGAATATTAACATACAATACATAATCATATTCAAATATCGACGTATTACTTTATTTTTTTTTGTTGCCCTACAATTTCCACTTGTTTAAATAATCTTTTTTATAAAGGAATTCATGCAACACCCACCTTTACATTATCGGCCGAAGCATCCTTATATTTCCGCTTATATCGCTGCACTTCTCCTTTTAACTGCAAATTATGGTTTTGTAAGGAAGTAATTAAATGTCGCATTTCCCTATTTATTGGCGCTGTTTGCTCGTTAGCAGCCATATTTTGCTCAAATTCAATGCGCAATGTTTCATATTCTTTCCGAATCTGAGCTAACACGTCCTCCATTTGAATCATTTCACTCCGCACTTTTTTTTGTGCAATTAATTCTTCGCTTTCCATAACTTCAATCTGACGTAAATGTTGATTCTTGCTTGTCTGCAGCTGATTACGTGTTTCATCTAACATGGTTTTTATTTGCATGGATTCATTATATAGAACAGAGAACTGTGACTGCAAGCATTTGTATTCTGTGGTTTCTACAATCACTGACTCTGGCAGCTGACGAATCTATTGAGAAAAAAGGAATTATTTTATTTTGCTCTATATAAAATAAATTTATTGGTATAAATTACTTACATCCATTTTTAATTTTTCCACCTCCTTTAACGTCTCCCGATGTGTAGCATGCAATTTATCCAACTCCTGCAAACGATTATTTGCCAGTTCGCGATACTCTTCTAAATCTTTCTGCAAATCTTCGTAGTGTTGGCTGTTTACATTTGCAGTGGCTGTTCCTTTACCAGAAGATGAGCTTTTATTGGGATCTCCATGCATTTGATGGTAAGCCTTCAATTTCTCTATGGCTTCTGCCAAATGATTTTCTAACTTGTCGTTGCGACAATGCACCTTTTCCAAGTCATATTGTAATTCATCGATCTGATTTTTTAACTCTGCGTTTTCGGTCTCTTTAGCAGTCAAAGCATCTTGACACTCTTTCATTTTTAATGAAATTGTATGAAATTTTTCATGCAACGAAGTGTTTAAACTTTGCAAATTTCGGTTTTCTGTCATAATTTCAATATGGGTTTGCTTCAAAGTCTCATCGATATTTGGCAAAATATTATTGGTAACATTATCTGTGCCATCTTCGCCTTCCGCATTCGCATTAGAATTGCTACCACTAGAAACGCCATTTCCTTCTTTTAGTGCTAATGTTATCTTCTCATTACGCTGCATGATTCGATCAATCACTTGCACTATCTTTGCTACCGCCCTCTTTGAAACTTGAACACGATTAGCAAGTTTATCGTCTAGTTCCTCTTTATCCCAGGTGGATAATTGTATGAGAAAAGATGTAGTTACTTCATTCTCATTGCGATTTTCAGACTCATCAGCAGTTTCAGCATCGAAACGTTGCAAAAGCACGCGTATATCTTCATTTAGCTGATTCCAATATCGATTTACGACATTCAAAACGGCATCGTCTTGCATTTGACGCTTTTCCAATTGTTCAATGCGGTGCCTCAGCTCTGCTTCAGTTCGCATACGTTGTTCAATACGCTGTGCTAGTTTTTTGTTTTGAAACTCAAGAACTTTAATATCCATTTCTTCTAGTGTCGACACAGGCCCAATGAGGTGGGGTTCAAAATGAACTTTCTTAATAGGTGGTTGCCCGAGATTTGTTGCACTCGCGGTGCTACCACCACCCCCAGACTCCTCTGCACTGCGTTTAGACATTTTGCTAGAATATATATATTTTACAAAATTATTAGAAAATTTCTGGAATTAGCAATCCGAGGCATGAGAGTGCCGGGTTCTATAATCAGTAGAGATCTTTCACTTTCTGGAATATTTTCTTTTAATGACCAAACCTAAAGTTGGAATATATCATTTTAACATCTTTTTAACTATAACTTACCTTTTTTAAGCAGATTATATATAAAAATTTTCGTAAGCAAATTGAAAATGACCTAAAAAAATTGTAAGCATTTCTATTCTGTGTCGGAATACAAAACTTCTTAAAACAGCGCTTCGCGGAATAGACGGAATAATAGAAACACAGCGTGTTAAACCGGCCGTAAAAGTAAATAATAACAAAAATGTGATTTAAAACCAATCGCGATCCCTATATTATATATTTAAGATATATATTAAGCACAATACATAGTTTTTAAGTGTTTGCAGTTTTATTTTTGTTTTGCTAATTTAAAGTATTGTAGTATAAAAATGTATAGCTTTTAGGGTTACAGAAAGGAACAAGAATTTGAAATGTTACGAAAGTGGAGAGGCATTGCATATATTCATGTGTATTACTTCGAAATTTTAGACAAGTGGATATGTACATATGG